ATTGTTTAAGAATATCAAGGAGTTATCCTAATGCCTCATTTTTCCACTCCTCTTGAATCTTTTCTATTGTCTTGAAATTCATCTAGAGCCTATTCCCATCTCTTCATCTGCTCCTTCTCTGATGAAGCCACACCTTCTCCCAGAATTCCTCTAAGCACATATGCTAACAGAATACATTTCACTTATCTTTAAACTCCTTTAGTGGGAACAAGTTCTGCCTTTTTTTTTTTCCTGGTACCAGGGATTGAACTCAGGACCTTGCACTTGCCAGGCAAGCACTTATTCTACTGAGCCATCTTCCCAGCCCAAGTCCTGCTATTCTAAAATAAAATCCAGATGCTATAAGATGATCTAACAGGCCTGCCTGATGGAGCTCTTTGTTACCAACCCTGCTGCTTCTTTGAAGACACACAGTTTTCTCTCACTCAACATAAATCTAGGGGGCCGGGGAGATGGCTCAGTAGAATAAGCACTTCCCTGGCAAGCACAAGGGTCTGAGTTCAATCCCCGGTTCCGAAAAAAAAAAAAAAAAAAAAAAAAAAAAAAACAACAGCATAAATCTATAAGAGTTGTTCCACGTGCTTTGAAAACATCCTTCCTTTCCTGGAGCTGGGCCTGAATATCAGCTCGTTGATTCTTCCCTCCACCAGTCAAGACATCACTCCTTAGGTGGTGGCCCTGCCCACCTTTGTGGCTGTGGCTTATGGTCACCTCCTCTGACAGCCCTGTCGTGGTGCCCTATTCCAAAGTGACTTCCCTCAGGAACTCACATGCCACCCTGTCTCTACCTTTGCAAGTGTTCATTAAAACCTTGGCAGTTATATTCATTTGAGTGGTACCTACCACAAAGAAGCCACCTGATAGTTATTGAATACTTGGGAGAGAACTAATTAATTAATACGGAATTCCTGCATTACCAATAAATTGATTAAATTCCATTGTCTAAAATAAGCTCATATAATTCAGTTATGTTGATATAGTACAACAGATTTTTTAACCCTCAGCAATATCAACTGGCAAAACAGGGCTCTAGATCTAGACTATACCCTAAGGTCATTCAACACCTACCATCCTGGGTCCAACTTACCTTTTGAGGTAGTCTTTCACCTTTGGTTTAGCTGGGACTAGAATGCTACACTCAGCAAAACAGAAGCCACCGTCTTTCTGAGTTTGCAAAAATTAGGATCTTCCCACATGTGGTTTTCTCTAATTCATGTTTTATAAATTCTGCTTTCTGAAATCCTCTGAGATGTTTGGTAGTGAAAGTGTGAATTAAATGGCTACTACAAAACTAACTTTTAAATGCTTCAAATTGGAGAATTTGGGAGATGGTTAATATTAAATATTGCCAGTGGATTTGTAAGTCAGCAGCATTTCTCTAAAGGGCTTGGACTAGTGTAAGTTAAAAACAAAAACCAAAAAACAAAAAAAACTCTGTAAAATACCTGCCTAGATCAAGGGATTTTATTTTGGAGAATGTATCGTAATGATAATCATAGTAAACTGAACATAATTACTGAAAATTGTTCATGGGCTATGTTGTTTAAAATACATTATTTCAATAATTCTTATAATATAGGACTTGTTTACAGGATTTTATGTATCAAGAAAAGGGCAATAAAAATTTGAGGTGGCTTGCTCCATGCCAGTAACCAGAGAAGTCGAATGTTAGGCATTTTAACTATGAAAAATACACTCTTCTCCACTATACTAAACAGATTTTTCCAGATAAATGTGAAGACTGAGCTATTAAGCTTTCTTAACACTGTTATAAAAATGGAAAATTTTGGTAAATTAATTAGGAGATATCCACATCTTATAATAGTAAAGATGATCACTATATATTGAATGAAATCATCAAATTATAGTGTAATATTCACATGATTTCTCTTTGGCTACAAAAGGAAAGACTGTGATGATTTTGTTGGGTGGAAGCTGAGCAGTCCATTGCGCTGTGCCTGACACATGTGCTTGTTGGCAGACTGAACCAAGTGATGAGTGTATATGCACAATCAAAGGGCTAGAAAACTATGCCACAAACTTTTGACAGTATTGATCTGTGGGCTGGGGAGGCATGAGTCAAATTTATTTTCTGTCATGTTTTAGTTGCATTTAAATCTTTCCTCTCTGAGAATATTTTGTTTTAGTAATCAGAAAGGGACAGGAATAAATGTTATATCTTTAAAGGTTATTTAGGATCTAACTTAAATGTTTTTCAAGTTGTCTGTCTGTCCTCTCCCCACCATTTATAGGACTGTTACCTCTTTTTGTACTCAAACATTTTATTCTTTAGCCAAAGCACTTTTCTACCATGTTTACTGATTTAACACTGTACTTTCTCATAGCATACTTTATCTCCTCTTTTAAGGTACATCTATGTTTTTTGTGCTTGTCTGACACTTGAGATCAAACAAATACTTTTGTGTGTGTCAGGCGATACCCTCAGCCCTCAGTGGTAAATTTCTTGGGACCTTGGACTATGTTTTGCTTATTTTCACAATGTTTTTACTTTCTAGAACAGTGTCCTAGACGTAGTACGCCCTCACTACATGTGTACTGTTTGGCTCTTGGAACTTAGCATTCCTCCGAAGTCCTGGTGAATGGGAAAAACTTCAAGCCTAGTATTGCCTAATACATATTTAATCAAATTAATATTAACTGTACATTGTTGATCTATATTTTACAAATTCAATATTAAATGTGTCTTTAATATTTCGATCTTTTGTTCGTCATAAGCTCTTTGATTTAATTTTTGTGTTCACAGTGTTACATTAAAATATTCATCTTTATTATAGTCACTTCACCCATTTAGTCTTAGCTCAAAAATATAATAACAGCAGTTGTGACAACTTGAGTATCGTATAAACAATAATTAAATAGATTTTTATTCACCTACACCTATAGTCGTCATAATGAATATCTATAGTATTACTTTCATATTGCAGGTAAGGAAATCAGAACACAGAGACATTAAACAAACTGGCTAACGTCGTTAGTAGAAAGTGATAGAACTGGAATGGGAAAAGCCATTAATAAGAACAAGTGAAGTTGAATCATTTTCATTGACTTTGATTGGTTTAGAAAAGCAACTTGGGAAGATCAGGCCAATTTCAGAAAAGAACCTGATTTTCTACCAATGTAAATCAAGGTTTATTCACTCCTTTACTCAATAGTTATTCAACTAACACTGAGGTGGTATGAGTACAGGTTAAATGTCATCTGAGGTATGCTGGCCAGGGAGCTTTTCTGCCAGTGGCTGTCGGTTAGGGTGCAAATTATATTTCTTAAAATATATTTATGGCTTAGCTCACAATTTGAAGTATATTTTTCAAAGGAAGGAATCCATCATCATTTTTTATCTTGACTTCATGATCCAGTTAACAGTTAGTTCAGAAGGCTATCTATTTATTATGCAGAGTAAACATTTAAACCTATCCTCAGGGGCCAGGGAGATGGTTCAGTGGAATAAGCGATTCCCTGGCACTTAAGTGCAAGGGTCTAAGTTCAATCCCTGGTTCCACCAAAAAATAAAAATAAATACATAAAAAATAAACCTATCCTCGATTTACCTAGATCCAGGATGATCATCTGAGAACTTGTAGGGAAAAATACAGATTTCTGGACCTTATTCCAAGGTACAAAATCATCATCTCTTGTTTCCAGTGTTAAAGAGCAGAGGCTGTGGCATTCCAATAACTGAATCTGAAACCTAGTTTGCCCATTGAACAGAAGGGTTACTTTGGTAAATTACTTAATATTTTTTGTTTCAATAGCCTCATAGGTAAAATAAGAATAAAAAGTGCTTGCCTCTCATAATATTTTGGTGAGGATTAAGTTAGAATAAATAACTAAATATCATAATATTCTTAAAAAGTAACTTCCTAATATTGAGTATTTTCAAATTATCATTATCTTATTAACTTGTCTTAAACATTTAGTAGAGTGCTTATCACATAGGAAGTCCTCAGTTGATAAGAGCTGTAGGAAGAAAGTCCATACTACTGGTGGTGATTCAGTCAAGAAGACAGGATTTAAGACCAGAGTTTGAGAGGAATGGCAATGGATAACCTGGAATAAATCATCCAGATTTGTGGTTTCCAAACGCCAGTCTACTCCTGTCAGCGCCACCTGGGTGAGCACATGAGTGCCTACCTCACCTTGGTCCTTCAACCTCTGACTCAGCATCACTTGGGGAGCTGAAAATCTCTATTGTTTAAAAAGCACAAGAGATATTTTGTCATGGCCAAGATTGAAAATAACGATTAGCTTGAGCTTTAATGGCTTAAGATGAGCGTAGGAGTTAAGGCATTGTTTTCCATTGTTGTCCTTTTCTTCTTCCTCCACCACCTCGTGTTATCAACTGCCTACCGTAATGCTTTCATATAGAAGATTTTCAATAATTTTATGATTAGATAGGCATAAGGTGTGTTGAATAATGCCTGCTTTATCTTCATGGGGGCTTTGGAGGGATCTTTCTAAAGCTCTATTTGACAATGCATCCCAAAAAATGTTAATGAAAGTGTAATTCTATAGGTTAATTTATTTCAGGGTGTTCTTTCCTGCTTCTTTAAAACATGTCATGTGGTTTCAGTTTACCCACCATTACATTGAATTTATAGTAATAAATTCTAGAAAGATTTCTATAAAAGATTTCTAAAACATTTTCTTCAAAGTATTCAGAGTAGCTAAAAAGTTTTATGCAATTTTTTTAATTCAGAAATAAAGTGCTGTAGAATGACCCAAAGTGTGCATTTATGTGTATTAAGTTTGACACTGAAGTCCAACCTTGCCAAATGTTCCCCATTCCTTCATTAACCTGAGTTTCAGACCAGTGTTACTTCACACTGGAAATCTAAACCTGCCATCAAGTCAGGAAACCTTATTTCAGGCAACCCTTCCTGCATCCTGCTAGAATGGCTCATGTTTTACTTACAGCGCCCAGAAGGGCTTTTCTAGTTCCTTTTTTTCTTTTCTTTTCTTTCTTTTTTTTTTTTTTTTTTCAGAACTGGGGATTGAACTCAGGCCCTTGTACTTGCCAAGCAAGTGATTATTCAACTGAGTCATCTACCCGGCCCCTTCTGATCACCAACCATTCAGCTATTTTGAAATGCAGACTTCCTAAGGGAGCATCATGGAAGTCTTCATACCCAAGCTTATAGGGGAATGAAAAGAACAAGACAAAAAATAAGTTTTTCAGGAGGAGAAAAACTCACATATTATTGCAGGTAAAGGAGCCTGGCACAAGAAAATCTCTTGACAACCAGAAAGGCAACTGTATGCTGGTTCTGGGAGTCAGTGTTCCCATAATTCAAGAAACTAGACCTGAATTCGTTAGTCTTCCTGTATTCTGCATGGGTAGTTAGTGATCCTCAGCCTTGACTGGCCAAGAGAGCTTAAAGTCTGACCATCTGGAAACATCTTGACCCAAAATCCTACAGAGCCAACTGACCATCTTTGAACAATACTGGCTTCATTCAGTCTCCATCTGCAGATCTACTCATGTCACTGAAAATACATCTCCACACGGCCTGATTCGTGGGACTAAAACAAACTTCACCAGAAAAAGGAAAGGGATCAAGAGAAACGACTGAATCAATTCCTAGCTCAGAATGCTCTTCGGGATGCATGGGACTTCTGAAAAAGCAAAGATGAAAAGTTCCAAATATGAACCAGCGCAATCCCCCAAGGAGATGAAGACAAAGGGGCTAGGATCCTTCTCCTACCTTCTGTGGTTCCAATATCGATAGTACCTTTCACTTGGCTGAAGCACCATAGTGTGTCCTGGGTGAGCGTCCCAATTCCTGGAAGTGACACAGAGAGACACTTCAGTATAGGTGAGAGTACCCAGTTATTCTGAAAAGGCAACAAGGAGAAATGCACAGCAAAACTATGCATTTCTGAAAGATTTGCATACCAGGTATCATCTCCGAGAAGAAACCCTACTAAGTCCTGGGAGGATGGTCACAAAGTACCACGGCCTGTGGGAATCACTGTTCTGTCTCTTTCTCCTCCCCTGCCAGGACTGGTTTGAACTGGAGCAATTGGAGTTCGTCCCTTCTCAGGCTCTGGCATCATCCTTCTGCAATTGTGAAGGGCCTGCAGCGCGCCCTGTGTGACTGGCTCTTTTCATGGGAATACTAATGCTGCTGATTGTTTCGCTTTGGTGGTGGTGGGGAAGAAAAAGAGGCAGCTCCTTAGAGGGGTGAGAGGAAAAGAAAGAAAACATTTTTCAAAAAACTGAAGTTACACAGTTTGCATGGCTGAATGGCCAGGGAGGGGTCAGACACCCAGGGAACTTTCATCTCTCTTGTTCATTTCTTGACCACTTGCCAAAGTCAGAGCTGACTAGAGAGAAGAGGAAAGTAGGGGGAAAAAGCTGTCAATGGGGGTGAGTGAATTGGGGGCTGCTGACACAGGACCGGGGAGTCCATGCCTGATGAATGTGGCCTGGTTTTTCATGGAGATTCCTGTTTCAAATTCAAAGTTGACAGTTAGTGGTGACATTTTTTTCTAGCTTATGGTGACTTTTGCTATCTATAACATATGTACCTGTACTAACACATATACTGCATATGTCCTAATACTTTTATTAACATATACATATTCAAGTCACATGGATCCTTTTCAGAATACTTCCAGATAGCAGGGGTGACAGTTTTCTTCTCAGAAGCATGAACATTCTGTTCTATTATTGCTGGCTTTTCTTTTTTAAATTAAGGGGAATAGTACATTGCTAAATATTGGAGAGGATTTAAATTGAAGAATTTCTAATTTAGTAGGAAAAAAATCTCATAAAATATCAAAATCAAATTGACCCTTTTTAAACCAGCAGACCAATGAATAGTTGTTCTTAATGTCACCATCTGATCCTAGTTGAATTTTCTGATGGAAACCTTTGCCTAGTCACCCACCCTAGAACACGGTGGTTTCTCACTGCTGGGAGAGTCTATTTGATGTAAGCGGCATGGGTTATCCTTAAAGAGTATATAGTTTGCCGTTGGACAGGGTCTGTAGTTTGGCTCTGAGCTGGGACAAGTTTTTAACCATGATAGGCTTTGTTTCATCATCTTTAATTTTTTTTCTTTTTAAAATGTATTTGGTTGTTGCAGGGTCTCACTGTGCAGCTCGGACTTGTAGTTACCCTCCTGTTTTCAGCCTCCCCAGTACTGGCCTTACAGGCATGCACCACTATTCCAGGACTCTGTGGCTGGCTCAGCCCACCTTGGGGGCAGGTCTGCAGCAACATGTGGTGCCGAGGAGAGAACCGTGGTCCCTGTGCTTGTCTAAGCAGGTGCTTTAGTCCTCTGAGCTATCACACTGGCTCTCATTTTTTTTTGATACAAAGTCTCACTATGCAGTTGTAACTTGTAATGATCCTCCTGTTTCAGTGTCCTTAGTGCTAGTATTACATGGCACGCCCAGGATTCTGGGGCCAGCATGGCATGTGGTACCAAGGATTGAAGCCGGGTCCAAATGTTTGCCAGGTAGGTGCTTAGAGTGCTGAGTTATTTATCTCCTCATCCCTGTTTCATCATCTTTAGATGGCAGTAATAATAGGATAAACAGGATTATTTTTAGCAAAACTCTAAAACCTTCAATATGCAGGAGCTGGGGGTTTGATCCCCACCCCCGGGGTACACTGAGACCGCAATTGAGACTGGGTGTGGTGTTGTGCACCTGTGATCCCAGCTCTTGGGAAGCTGTAAACAAGTGGATCACTACGAGTCTGATCTAATAGTGAGACTCTGAACACCCCGCTGAGCCTTCCCTAAAATACAAATAAATAAATAAATAAATAAATAAATAAATAAAAAAACCTTCAATAGCAAGAGAGAATGTGAGGTGAGGACTTTTCTGTCAGTTGCTGTGAGGCAGGCACTGTGATAAGTAATTTACACAGAAGATCTCCATTCTCACTCAGTTCTGTGAAGACAGTAATTTTTATCATCCCCACCTTGTAAGTGAAGAAATTGACACTCAGGAAGTTTTGGTAAGTGCTGCAAGGTTGCATGCAGAAGTTAACAGAGCAGGGATTTCAACGCAGGCTGTTTGAACCTCAACATTCCTAGGATGCAGAGGTTGGCTTCCTACTTAGCTATTCTGGCCCTCAGTCCCAGAGATGCTTCACCATTTAACATGAGCTGGAAGACAGCTTTAGATGTCATGTAGTAAAGTGTTGACATGGCCTGTGAGACTGTACAGGTCTTTCCCAAAAAATTATGCCCTGGGAGAAGAGGCGGCAGGACTTCCATAACATTTAATTATGCATAGAAAGACGATGCCCTAAGGCTGATCCTTTCTCATAATTCACTGACCTTGCTTGGATTTTAGCACCAGGCATATTTTGATAGGTTCTTATCTTCTTTGAGAATCATCACTAACCCTCTCTAACCTGTGCCAGCTGCTGTTGAGGTCTAAGAATGATCTATCTCTTGGGGAACATTAGCAACAGGTGAGCTATCCCATTTTTGTCCTGGCTCAGTTCCTGTCTCCTTGGTTATCACACTATTTTGATTACCACAAAGCATGTACTTCAATGCAAGCAGGTATGTTCAGGTCTGAAATATATATATATATATATATATATATATATACACATGCACATGCATACATACATGCCTAGATATTTGTATTATTTTGTAGAATCTTATTTCTAGGAGGAACTCTACTCCTATGTGAAATCAACTTACAGAAAAAGCAAATAATAGTTATGCACCTGCAGAGAGTCACAGAGTAAAGGGTTATGTGACCAGCTCCCTTCCCAATGGCAGTTCCTATTGATTACCTGTGGCTGTGGTTGCCTAGCTTAGCTGTTTAACATCAGTTGACCAGTGGGAGTGGTCCTGGAAGCCAATGTATTATTGGTAATCTTGTCCAGGGTAGGACTTGATTCCTTCAAGTTTTGTCTCCTCCAGCCTTCAGCAATCATTATGAAATGATGGTAATGTGAAGAGTTTGGACCATGCCACCTCTATCCTAAAAGTGTTAAACTGCAATTGAAAACACAAATGCCTGGGTGTTAGGATGGGAGAACAAAAGCTAAATATATGAGAGATACTTAATAGCTGTACTTTTTTTTTTTGCTTTGAAATTTAGAAACAAATTTTATTTAAGTTTTGAAATACAATTCCTAAATTATCACCTTTGCAAGAAAACTGTGTCCACACAATGATGCATTGCCTCTAGCATGTCAGAATGTGCATTAGACTCAAATACAAAAACCAAGAGACAAGGCACCGTCCTTCAACAATTTGAGCAAAATCATGAAACATTCTATGGCATAAATTATTGAATACTTGGACTTTTGCCTTGCCTCTGTGGTCAGCCCAAGACTGGTGGCTACAGTAGGACCTGGAGGACTTAGGCTAAGTCTGCAGCAGAGACCACTACTTCACCCTAGCTGAGGGTTGCCATGGAGGATTTCAGCTCTGTATTATCAGATTAGCCAGTTTTTTAATCTTTCAGGAAAATCCAGAATTGTGGATTATGATACAAATAATCCAAATATTCAAAGAACTCCAAATTGCTCAACGCTGTCGATCAGTTCAGACTGGAGCACCCCGACAGCGTGGGCCACATAGCAGAAAGCAAACACATCTCACCTGCAGGTGGAACGTCTTTCTGGGGCACCACTTGGCACTTCTGCAGTTAGAATATTTGTGTTGACACATGCTTCAGATAACCTAGTTCCTCCTCACCATTTTACAGGTTAGCAGGTAAGACCCCAGCAGGGGAAAGAATCTACTACACAATAAAGTTACTTCAGAAGCATACCTAGTGCTGTATTCCTTCACCAGCAAGCTACCTCTCAGGATGGTTTGGGGAGATTTAATGAATGCTCCTTAGGGAGTGTACCCAATTGCTAAAATGGATGATTGGAAGAACTAAGCCAATGTAGTGCAAAAAAGGGAAAATTTGTTTTTTTTTAATTACAGACTCTGACAGTTTCCCTCAATCCCAGTGCTACGGCACTCTAGTTGCTATAGTAACTGTGCCAATAAGCAACATGCTCTACCAGAAGGCTGGCGCCAAGCTAGTGACTCAACATCCTAGAAGATGCTCTTTTTCTTCTCCTGGC